CCTCTAATATGATTCCATCCAGCCAACAAGTATTCAAGTTCCGAGCACGTGCTTGGCAGAATTTATAAATTTTGGTTCTGGCACCATTACAAATGATCAAGGAAGGAGTCCCTCGAGGACCTTACCAAACAGGGTAAGCATCACACCTCCCTGCCTCCAAGTTTCTGGTGGAGTTTTGTTTTTGCCTGTTCTCCCCGTGATGGTCAATTGCAGCAAATGGAGCAGAACTTTCACAAGATCTTTCTCTTGTTGCATTGGGGCTGTTGGGTGATAGTGTACCAAGTGTGAAGCGTGATTAGGCTTGCAAATTATTTTCAGCTTACTGACCTTATTTCTAATGACAAAAGAGAACTGGACCTAAACTCACCCCATGTCAAGCTGAAATGGACTTAGAATAAATAAAAAACTTATGTAGAGATGTGCCCACCACTCTCCTATCATATAACTCTTCGATTCTCTTCAGGGGAAAGGGTGTATTCACTCATTGCTATTCGATTCCTAACTTTATGCAAGAGTTGGTTAATCTGAAGGCACAGTGGAGGGAACAGGACTCTGCTGATGACAAGCTCGCGCGTAGACTACTGGTACTTCAGCTTCCTCCAGAGCTCTAAAGCGGACGTGCTAGTATTTCCCGTAGCAGCATCAGGAGGACGCAGACGATGGCAGGACGGAAGGCTCACATAGGAAAAGCCACTGAGATATGTCTTGGAGCTAACTGCTATCTTTTCTGTAGACAGTGCCATTATTTTTTTAAATAACCGGGCACTTCTGACACTAAGAATTTCCTCACTGGAATTTCTCATTTTCTTGATGTGCTCATTTCAACAGAATCAAAACGTTAACAACGATCTATTATAACAGGTTAACATTTTACTTTAAAAAATTTTAAATTTATTGAAATGACAATGCAACTAAACCAAAGCCTCACAACTGAAAAGTTAAGCCAATCACAACTAGTGCTTGCTGTGTGTTAAAAAAAATTTCTAAAATATAAAACAGCATTTCAGTTATATCAGATAGGGGTATGTTTAACATGTTAAAAAAAATTGCAGGGGTTTCAGAGTGACACGCATCACAGTTACGATGTTCTCTGCACTGCCGTTAACTGCGGACAGCTAACTCTTCTGAGCAAAGATAGAAAGTGGCATTTATACATTTCCTTTTCTTTGTTTTCAATGCAAGTTTTATCGGGTTTTGTGACTGTATTTGTATGGCTCCATTCTGGTTTCACATCAGTGCAGGTGAAATAAGCTTGAGGAGTTTGCGTCTGGTTCTTTGGCAGTGGACATGCAAGCAGCGTCACGGTAAGACCAGTTTAAGTCACACTGCAGGGGATGGGGGACTGTCTGGGAGGACACGTGTCCTGAAAAAGCAGCCCATGCTTGGAAGACGTGAACTACACATGCATTTTCGTTTTAAAATTAACTTGCTGCCTTTGAATCTTACCACTGGTTTAACAGCAGTATTTATGGTTTCATTCTAAATATATTGAGGTTAGTATCTTAATAGCTAGTAATTCTAAGAAAAGAGTTAAAATAAAGACAATGATCTTAGCATGTACTATGCAGCTTATGGTGGCCAAATTTCATGTAGTACAGTATGTGTTACATCATTTTAAAGTTGATCTGCTTCCCGCTCAGAATCTCAGGGTGTTTATGTGTATGCACGCACTGCGCATGTAAGTAAGTGAAACTGAAGAGGAAAATCTGGATTTTTATATTCATCATCCATTACAATCTACATTCAGAAGCCAAATTATACAAAACTAATTCGAATGTCAGAAAAAGCATCTTACTTGAGCTTATCGAACAGTATCACACTGAAGGTTCATCAGTGAAAATAAAGGGTTTCGTGAATAGAGCAGACACTGCTTTGCTCTAGGCCCCAACACCAGCCCTCTGCCCCAGGAACTTGGATTTCTTCCAGCTCTTCTGTCTGCCGTCTTCCTTGAGAAGAAGCCGATCTCGGTTTGGGATCTAACCCGTTGAGAAGGCTGGTTTTGCACAAGGAGGAGGAACAAATTCTTTCATTATACTCCAGGAAAAGCCACCATACATAGGAACCTCCACATCTGTACCATCTTTCTTTGCGTTTGATAAGATCCACCCAGTCAATCTTCCACCGTCAAAAGTTTGTGTGAAACACTCCTCCCGCAGGTTAAGGTGTCTTATATTTAATCTCCGAGGAGGGTCCACCTTCAGCATCCATGTCTTCTGAATCCTCCTCCATCTTCTATCTCAACACCGCCACCCACAAATTCTGCATAAACTGAGACGAGAACACACCAGCGTAGCCCAGGGCCTTGGAAACACCAATCCTCCGTCTTGCGAGCCTGTTTGCAGCAGCGCTGCTCACAGGTCTTAGTTGCTGCCACTTGGTCCCCACGTCTCCACAGACCTAAAGAATTTTTAAGTAATGACATTTCGCACCATCAAGACAGCTGGGTCTCATGTTTTTATTGAAAACGTGCACAAAATAAATGCCTCTCCTCTATGGTAGGATAAATGATGTCTCACGATTCAGGACAGGTAAGTACTGAAATTCTTTCAGGTAACCTGGAATGAAATGTCACCTTTCTCTACTCTGGTTTCTCTCTGGGTGAAGGACAAGCAGAATTGTACAACGCTCAGAGTTCCTTTCTCAGCGGCTGCAAACTCTGCTCTGTTGGTTGCATGTGAATTTGCATTATGGAAAGCAGACTGAGAAACATGCATGAGTCTGGCTTTGTTTCTTCTGTTTCATGGAATGTCTAATCTCAAGGTTCTCAAAAATCACTTAATCCAAGATCCCTTCCTAGACAACCATTCCAGAGACGGCTCGTGAGTCTCCAAAAGGCTATAATAAATACTTAAAAGGCAAGGGACGCGGCAAAGTTACCTTCAAACCTGCATTTGAGGAAGGGAGAATGTAAACAGAATCAGACATTCCAAGTGCTGAAATGGGAGCGAGTTTACGTGTTAATTCACTTAAATGTCAACTTTTCACTCAGATTATTCAAAATAGCTTCTGTTTCAAGGTGGATGTGCTGCCAACCTAATCTTTTTTAAAGTACAATTAATATATCTTTGGTGTAAACGTCTGAAACAGTGCAGAAAGAATGAGAAATACGCAAACCATGAGTCCCTCACCCGATGCCCCAATCCTATTCCCCAGAGGTAACCACTTAAGAATTCTGTGCATCCTTCTTGACATTTTCACTGCATGCATTTCCTTAAAACACACACATGTATGAAATAATAGTACACTCTGTTCTGCAATCTGACAATACACACAGCTGATCCACAGCAAGAAGGCTACAAAGTGAGGGGTTCTCCGCAGGGCCGTGGTGCGCTGTCTTCGCGGCAGGGAGGAGAGCACCGGCGGGGCTGTTTCTCCCAACGTGAAATTGTGAAGCTGGGTGTGGGGGGAGGGGCTGGACTTTTACACCCCAGTCTCCTTCTGAGCAAGTGAAAATCATCACGGCCTCCCTGCCACTCACTTAAAAAACTATGTAACACACTGCACGGCAGGTGCTGGGTTAGGCTCTGGGCATCCTGAGCCTGGTCAGAGGCAGAGGCAGGACCCCTGTCCCCAAGGAGCTCTACAGTTGGCTCTCCCAACAAACCACTGTCGCCCTGAAAGATCTGCTCATCAACTCATTCAAGCCTCCCTTTACTGAGCACCTATCACGAACCAAATGCTACTTTAGTCATGACAAATACAAAGATCATCAACGGTCCACATTTGCCTTAAGGATCACAGTCTAACAGGGAAATAGATCATTCTGTTTCTAACAGTGCTGGGAAACACGCGCGATGCTGTTTAAGGAGGCGAGCAGCAGGGTCACTGCACTTAGCTTTGTAGGGAGGGAGTTGTTGAAAAGCCTTCCTGAATCGCAAGGCTGGAGGGGACAAGGCAAGCAGGCACCTCTTTCAGGACACGCAGGGAGCTGGTCAGGGCTCTGGAGCAGAGTCTGCACTCCAGGGAGCTGGGGTGCATCCCAGGCAATGGGGAGGCCCTGAGGAAGGCAGGGCTGGGGTGGGCGTGAGGGGTCAGAGAGCTCACTCCTACAGCTGCAGGAGGCTGGGGAACCACGCAGAGGAGAGATGATGAGCCCCTAAGCCAGGCCGGGGAGGAGAGAAGGACTGAGACATTTAGTGGGTAAAACATCTGGGCGTGAGAGCAAACTGAATGTGAACTTCGAGGAAAAGGGAGAGGTTAGACACAACTCCAAGGTTTCAACTGTTGGCGACTAGTAGACGGAAGTCCAGTCTCTCTGGAAGTTAGGTTAAAAGATATTTTTTAAAAATGTTTTGCACTATCTGCAGCCCTCCTAATTGGTACTTACCCCTCAGCGTAAAAGCCTTTTACTATATTAGACACTCTCTCGATCCTACCTTCCCAACCAATCTTCTTAAAATAACCACCGAGTACCCTTCCTCACCTCCCACCTCCCATTACCTTCAACCTACCACAGTGTGCCAGTGGTCCCCACAGTCCCCCCGAAACTGCGGTAGCAAGGGTCACCCGGGAGAGGGGCCCCATTCCCAGACCTCTGTGCAGCCCTGGGCTCCAGGCCAGGCCTGGACCGCCCCACCTCTGCTTTCCCTGACGCTGCACTCTCCCGTCTCCTTTCCCTCCGTGGGCTCCCACTCCTGCTCGCCCCTAGTCCTATAGTCAAGTCCCACCTCCTCTTCCCACTCGCGCCTCCACCTGAAGTCGCCCCAGTTCTAATGTCATTCTTCCTGAGCCCCAAAGTCAGGTGTGCAAGTGCCAGTGTTCTGTCATGTCCAGTTTGTGCAGAACGCCTCCTTTCTCCCCCCTCCCTTGGCAAAGGCTGCCACCAGCCCCTCACTCACCAGAGCTGGGTATCTGGAGCCACCGAGGCGCTGGTGGGACGATGCACAGGTGCTTCTGTCTCTTGCCCCCTGCTTTTGTGCTGCTGTGCAAAATGTCCCTCCTTTCTTTAAAAAATATATTTGACACGTATAAAACATTATACACAAAGTCACCATCCCACATTTTTGCTTATTATTCCATTTTTCCTTTATTGTTCTCATATTCAATAATTAAGTACAATGTATCTAATTACATACAGCATTCTATAACATGTACTGGCTATAAAGCATAACATAATAAGCAACCGTACACCTGCCACATAACCCAAGGGCTGGCATGTGACCAGCAACCTGCACCTCCCCGTCTGTCGCCTTGCGACCTGTTCCCTCTGACGGGAACTGGGAGCCTGAATTTTGGCTTATCATCTTTCTTTTTTCTTTAAACAGTATAGTGTCACCATTTATGATGCTCAGACAATAGACTCTTTGGTTTTGCTTGGTTTTGAGCTCAGTAAAAATAGTATCAACCATACCCCGGAGCTTGCTTTTTCCTTACTGTTTTCTGAGAGTCATTCTTTTGCCAGGTTTAGCTGTAGCTCACTTATCGTTCACTACTGAGTAATATTCCTTAGTGTGAATCACCTAATTTACTCATCCATTCTGCTGTAGACAGAGGACATGTCATTTTACCAGGTATTAACCATAGGAAGACGTTGCTATACACAGTCTCGTATGTACCTCCTGGTACACAAAGCAAGAGTTCCTGAATATTCAGTGGGGGGCTGGAGCCATAAGCTAGATCCTAAAGTGTGCAAACGTTCAACTCCGTGAGGTGTGACCGTCTTCTGGAGCAGAGGAGCCTGTTCACACATCCATAGTGTATGAGCTCCCACATCTTCCTCACCCAGGTACCATCAGACTCCTTAACGTTACCAACCTTACAAACATAAAACGCTATCTCACTGTGGTCTTAGTTCATATTTCCAACATTTCTAGCCATTTACAAACCCTATGAAATTACTTCCACTTCTGTGAAATGCCTTTTCAAGTCTTTTCTATTTTTAAAATAGGAATTCTCTATATATTCTGCTTAAAAATCCTTTGTCAGTTAATTGCATTATAAATATCAAGTCTTGGTTTGTCTTTTCACTACACTAAATTGTTTATTAGCTTCAGGCCTAGTTTTAACATATTTGATTTAATCGTCCTTCTTTTAAGATTAGCACTTGTATGTCTCAAGAAATTCTTTCCTGCCCTAAGGTTTTTTTCATGTAAACATTTAAATATTTACTTTTTGCAATTAAGACCATAACATACCTGGAGCCTAGTTTTAGGTACGGTGTGAGGTGGAAATCAAATTCCATTTTCCCATAAGGATAACCACCATTCTAGAACTATTTATGGAGCCACCCTTCCTGTCCCCACCCACGGGCCACGCCACCTTGCCACAACTCAGCATACACGCACAGGCTCTCTCCCAGGCTCCGTACTTCACTGCACGGCTCAGAATGCCCACCTCTGAACCACGTACAACACAGACTCTACAGTTAAGACCCACTGTTTTCTGAGTCCCCTCAACCTTAGTCACAGTTAAAAGCCTTCAGCCATCATAGTCCTTTGCTATTCCACATAAATTTAAACATCTGCTTGTCACAATTAAGAAAACTTCTGCTGGAATTTCTGCTGGAAACGGCATTGAGTCTACAGATCAACTTCGGGAAATGTGATGCCTTTACAACCTTCACCATTCATGAACAGAGACAGTTCTTCAACTGTATCTCTCATGTCCCAAATCAGGCCTTAACCTGAACACTGCCTCCCTTCAATGTCTCTACTACTTTTCCAACCAGAAGGAGGAAAAGTGTGTCTTTTATGTGCAAATTTTTTAGATAACTGCAATAGTCCAAGAGAAAGCTGATGTGGGGTGAGTTTGTGGTCTGCTGCTGGAGCAGCGGCAAAATTCTTCCCTGCTGAATATATCAAGAATGTAAGAATGAGACCATGCTGGTTTGAGATGCACTGAGTCTGAGATGTCTGTCTGCCATCCCCGAAGAGGCTGCTGGATGTTTGCTATGCGGTGCTCTTCAGGACAGAGGAGTCTGGACAGAGACATCAGTTTGATGAGATTGCCCGTTGAAACTGTACGCCTAAGAAGGTAACTAGTGACAGGAGGACAGGTAACTAGGATTTAAACAGGCAGTGGAAGAGGAAGCTATGCAAACAGCTAAGAAATTATCAAACACAGGGAAGGTTAACCAGAAAAGTAGTCAAGGGGGAGCCAGGAAACGGAGTTTTACAGAAGCGGTCAATATTCTCTAAACCTAGAAAGAAAATCACTGGAAAGGCCATTGGATCTAACAATGAAGAGGTCATTAATGATAAAACAGATGCATAGAAAACCTACCTTCACTGAGTTAAGGAGAGAAGGGGAGGAGATGGCTGGCACACAGCAGACACTCAGCTATCTGTGGAGGGCGTGTCTGAGAGAGACAGGAAGAAGGCAGACTCGTCCCTGAATGAGCTCAGCTGTGCGCAGAGGGAGGAGGATGTCAGGGCATCATAAAATCCGGTCTCAACCACCACCCCAGGAGCCATCCTCCTCAGTACCGACCGCAGAGCAAGCAGAGTAAGCAAGGTTCTGGACGAGTGCTTATTTAGAGGGAAAAACAGATCTGGGGTCTTTAACAGAAATGATGAGAGCGAGCGAGTGAGCGAACGTGAGCCACAGCAGCTGATGGCAAGGAGAGCTCTGGACGTCCGGGCAGACAGACAAGACTCCGAGTGCAGACTGGTCACCTTCCTGCCTTTGAGGTCACCTAATATAAACTAAGAAAGGGGTTTTCAAATTGTATTCTGTTTTCTTTAATGAACATACAGGCATGGGAACTTGGACAAACTGCTTTGGTCTTTAGATAAAAGGCATCCATTGTGGGACTAGATCAACTATACATTTAAGGAAGCCATTCCACCACGTAACTGGTTGAGAGAAGACATGGTAAATATTTAATGAAACTAGGAGACTTAGCAACTGTAATTAAAATAAAATACATTAAAATATTTGGAGGCAGTTATTCTGTCTCACAGAAGAATGTACCAATGCCTAGAATAACATACCTGCTGTGGAACGGACAGTAAGTCCTCCAACTGCTATCTCAGGACACTCTGTCCCACTCAGTCCAGCACAGAATAAATACACCTAAAGAGGCACACAGTTCTCCTCACCGTAAGGGCCGGTGGCGTCTGAAAAGGCACGCTACTCTGCGGGTAAACACGTATGTACTACGGATATGGAACATTATCATTTCTTAAGTTTTTTCCCCTTTCACCTCCCATGTACCTGAAAGCACATTTGATATAACTGCTTTGGGACAAGGCCGGCTTATACCACGAGGGGTGGGGGGGCTGCGGCGCGAAAAAGAAGACTGACGGTGCTGATAGCAGAGGGCAGCTTCTCTCTCCATCACTGTGTTAAGCGGAGCTCTGATCCCAGGAAGGGTACTTAGTATGTTCAATCCAGTCGTTGCCATGTGCTTTTCCCTACTATCTTTTCATCTCCATTGACCTCTTGTTCCCTTTCCACGAGCACCTACCCTGTGCAGAGCTCAAGGACTCCCTGTAGGCCCTACAGAAGCTGCCGTCTACGAAGCACTCACTGTGCGCCAGGTCCCGTGTTACCTGCCTTATGTGCACCATCTTGCTTAATCCACACCTCATGCCCAAGAGACAGAAACTAGTATCACTGTCCCCCTTTCACAGATGAGAAAATCGTGTTGGAGAGCTTAAGTAATCTGCCTCTGTCGTACAGCAAGTAAGTGGCAAAGTGAAACTTGAACCCAGGTCTGTCTACTTCAAGGCTCATGTTCATAACCATTTCCCTGAAATAGCTGTGAAAAAGTCAATGTGCTTTTCCCATGTTGTGTGGGACTGGAGTTGGGTCAGCACAGAGAGAGAACTGAGTATGCCTGTCCACTCTGTACAGGACATGCAGCTTAGCCGAGACCCTGCTCGGTTCTGGGAAACACCCCAAAGATGTTAACTACCCTTAACAACCACTCTCCCTCCCCACCTCCTTTCCCCTCAGTGAGGGGACGTGAAATTATGAGAGGACAAAAACGCTTGGAGGACATGACTGTGTTTGACCATGCCAGGCAAGCGGCCTGAGTGCTCCTGACAAGCCGGCGGTGAAGCATGCCCTTTGCCAAAGGGACTTCTGTAGACGTGTAATAGCGGCTTCGGAAAGGAGGTCTTGGGACACAGAGCACAGTGACGCTCCCTCCCTGTCGGAGTGCGCTGCTCTGATCACTCAGATGAATGGCGTCCCCTGGCCACACGGTCACATTTCTGCATACACATCCCTATTCATCTGAGTTTCAGGCTTTTCTCCAAGAGAGAGAAAAACAAAATAAGTGGCCTGGTACATTCAAGGTAAAAAGGAAAAAAAAAAAAGTTGACTTCTTTGAAATGCAAAAGACCTCCACCTCCAGCTCACCTCGGTCCCCAAGGGACGAGGGACACCCCCCAAGTCCTGCTCGCTGCTCTTCATTTAAGGTCCCCTAAAACACAGCCACTCGTTTTCCAAGAACCACAGGAAGACCTTGCTCCTCTACAAGTTTCCACCAAATTCCAAAAGCTGGGTGGGGCAGACGGGCTGGCGGCCGCTGCGCTCTGGTTACTAAGGCACTTCGGCTGTGTTTCCTTGAGGATCATCGAGTACAGGCAGGGTAACAAAAAAGTTAGTCTGTGTCATATCCCAGGATGGGTCCCAGCCACTTCTCAACCTCGGCCACAGACATGTTCTTCCTCAAAGCATAATCCTCAATCTGCAAAAAAATGAAAGCAGCTTATTAAACCAAAATGATAAAGACTTTTTAAACTAAAGTTTCCACAGGACTTGCCAAGAAACATTAAGTACCTTCCATTTCTTGTCTTGATAGCAATCTATGGAGTTAAATGGAGATAGATATTTATCTATTCACCAAGCTGCCTTATACTCTGGGGCAGAAAAACAACATGGAGTAAATAAACACATGATGCTCAGAGCATGGCTGGGGTGTGTGTTTGGGCAGGCGGGGGGTTCCATGGGAGGGCTAGGATTGGGGTAATGGGCTGAAATCAAATCGAGACATTAACTGGGTACAATTTCTTCATCCTTTCCCTCTTGTTTTATTCTCATTCACATGTAAAATAAAGCAGGGTTAACAGCTCCATTTAAAACAAGACAGGCACTTAGGGATACCACACACAACGAAACAGCCAACTTACCTGATCCTTGGAAATTTTCCCCACAGCAAAATATCTGGACTTCACGTTGGAAAAGTAAAGGCCGGACACGGCTGAAGCAGGTGCCATCGCCAGTGACTCTGTTAGCCGGATGCCTAGAGAGCAACGCGGGGAATACGCTCATGGATGTGGCGCTGAGACAGGCCCCGCAGGTGGCAGGCACCTGATAAACTCTCATTTACAGGTGAAGGAGAGTGAGCCCGTGCTTCTAGGCAGACACACGGCACAGCAGGAAAGACGTGAGCAGACTAGTCTAGCAAATCCCTGCCAAGGGGGAGAACAACTTCAGGACACACAGCTCTGCCCTGGCCTGGGAGAAAAGGCCTGGAAAGGGCTCGAAAACCAGTCACAGGGGCTAAGCCTGGGTCTCCCAGACGAGGAGCTCCCACCCTGGGGATGGGAATACCAGCTGGGCCTCCAAGGGCCCCTGTGGGGCCAAGGCCACCAGGGACGAGCGACAGCCAGTCCCACCAAGAACGAGCCCACAGCCGTGTTTAGAAAGAAGCCGCCTGTTCCTCTGAGCTGAGACCGAAAGGGAACGGCGGCAAGGCTACCTGGTCCGCACCAGCACTGGGTGGATGAGGACACAGAGCAGTGCGGAGTTCAGCACTCTGTCAGAGAGCACTCACACTCCTTTCACTTCCTCGGCGAGGATGTCGTGCTTCTGATTAACTCCACTGAAAACAGTTAATTGTGTTAACAGGAGTGTAAAAGAAAAGAGAGAAGGGAGCTGAAGGGAAGGGAGGGGTTCTGCGAGCCTGGTGCCGAGATGCTGGCAGTAAGCAACGGAAGGAGAGCACAGCTTGAAATGTGTCAGGAGGGGGTACACGGTCCCTGATGGGGAGACACCCAGCAGGGAGGACGGGGCAGGAGAGGTACAGGGTGGGAGAGCGAGTTAAATTCTCATCTGCTGTAGGGTAAGAGAAAATAATCAAACTCGACAAACCTGGAAATGGTGATGTGAGACTACTACTCCATAACAGGGAGCTCAGGCACTAGAACAAACAGCTAGACCTGGGAATTACCACCTTCACTACACCCCTTTCTGTATTTCCAAAATTTTCACCTGAGCCCGGTGCATCTATCACAGAAGGACAGAGGCGCCCCACTCCTGCCCTCACCTGTGCACTGCTCGATGTCAGCCAGCCTCCACATGGTGAGCTTCTCGGTGTGATCGGGCTGGCTTGGGTAGCCAGGCGCTGGCCGGATGCCCCCGTAGTGCAGTCTCCGCAGGTCCGCCACGTCCAGCCGCTCATCGGCGCAGTACGCCCACAGCTCCCTGCGGACCCTTTCGTGCAGCTCCTCTGCGAAGGCCTGGAGCCCAGAACACAGGGCTCAGGCAAAGCCATGTCCTCGGCACCCCACTCCTCCAGCCTCAGAGGCACACAGCACCTCCCTCGCCTGGACCACAGCCAGGGAACATCAGCAAGAGGGCCGGGCTGGATTCTCAACTCATTTATAGTTTCATCAGCTGCTCTGCTACTCAGTTTTGGCCTCAACCTGGGCGCTGAGGTACCACATTCAATGCTCTGAGGACTCCAGGCCTTTACACACTTCCCTGACGGTCAGTCTGCAGCTCATGGAGGCTGGAAGGAGAAGCTGGGACCGCTACTGCAGCCAGCGGCCCACTGTCAGCCTCAGTAAAAGGGGAGAGAGCCCCCCCACTGCACAGAGGGGGATGCGGAATCCATGGAGGACTCCAACATTAAAACCAGAAACCCGTTTTGCATTTTTTGGGATCCTCAGGGAAAGTTCACATCACAACAAGCAAAGAAAGACACCAGAGAAAGACTATGAAGTCAAGGCTCTGAGGCGGCTGCCAACCAGGGCACCGCTGGAGCTGCTCCGTGCCCAAGACGAGTGTGAGAGCGACCAGAGAACACGGGACTTCAGCATGTGCGCTGCTACCACCAGCCTCACTGCGCGCGTGCACACACACATAGGCGCCCACGGGGGTCCCCACCTCGGCCAGCCGGTCCCCCAGCGCCTTGACCATGATGCTGTTGTAGTCGTCGCACGCCTCCTCGTAGGCCCTGCTCAGCGCTTCCACCCCGAAGCAGGCGACGGCGAACAGGCCCAGATAGTCGGGGACACCCGAGTGCAGAGGGGCGATGAAGTCCGAGAGGCAGTGGTACGGGTCCGAGCTGGCAGAGTCCTTCTCCGCCTTGAAACGCAAGCAGTGGGCAGAGCAGCCATTAGCACAGACGTGGCCCCGACACACAGCAGACAGCAACCTAGTATCTTCCGACAGACACAAGCTTCAAACGGGGCTGTCTGTCTGTTGTGTTCCCTGTTCCACCCCCAGGGCTGAGAGGAGTGCCTGATACGCAGTGAGTGCTCAGTGCATCCGTGCCGAACAGACACGTGAAGTGAGACGAGGCGTGACGCACTCCCTGCTCACTCACACGCTGACCACACACCCACTGAGGGCCTGCAGGCCCCTGCGCGCTGGGAGCTGGCACCCGCGAAACGCATATCAAATTTTTTTTTCTCCAAAAGTGCTTTCAATTCAAGATGAACATTACATCCTGAGGTTACGTTGCACACTGTGTATGAGCCTCCACTTTATCGACAGAAGCAGTTCAACAAATTGCCAAGGTTGGCAACGCAGGGGCCGCGTGCTGCCCGCCACGGCTGGTGGCTCAGCAGACGGCTCAGGACCCCGCTGGGCTGGCCTAAAACCAAACGGAAAGCTCAGCAGGACCCGCTCCTGGGCCGCTGGCTGCACGCGCCCACTTTCCATTTTCAGCTGATGACTTTCTCTCCCGCTAGTCAGTCTATTTCACAGCCAACACGTGCTCGCGGGAAGGTGAGCAGCCAGTACGTGTTTACCGAGTGCTTAGTGTGCTTCAGGCGCTAGTCTCAGTGCTTTATACAAATTAACTGATTTAATCCTCTCAACAACCTTGTGAAGTGATACCACCCGCTCTGTTTTTAGACAAGAAACCTGAGGCAGAGAGGGCCTGAAGAACTGGTTCAAGGTCAGACAGCGGCAGGCCCACGGGTCCGGTCCACGTCCAGTGCTCTTGACCGCTATGAAGCACTGCTTAGAGCAGATCAATTAATCAATGAGTGGCCAACCCAGAAGCTTCACAGCTGCGTGCCTGCCAGCTCTGGAAACAAGTACAATCTAATCGACACTGGGCAGAAAATGGTTAAGTGGCTGCAGGCAAGAGGGAGTTTGATTAAAAGGCACGTGGAAATGTCAGCGATGAGGGCCAGCTACACAGGGAGGAGCTGCCTTCCAGCTGTGTGCTCTGCACATCAAATGTTCTTTAACAGAAGCCAGACGGAGACACAAAGCTCCTGGCCCCACAGGAGAGACAGGTCACAGAGCCCACAGCACTGGAGACAGAGTGATCAGAGCCACTCAGAACAGAGGCTCCCAGAGCCACGAGTCGCCAGAGCCAGAACTTCCCAGATTGTACTGGAAGAAAGTACCTCCTTAGAAATGTCTGCCTGGGCAGGTAACAGATGCAGCTATCTGCCATTATGAATTATACTCTGGTTATGATTAAAAGCAATAGTATCACTTATGAACGACTGCAAATGACAGTAAAACTTTGCAAGAATACTTTACTACAACTCTGTTAATAACTGATGAATCCTGGTGCAAATTCTTGATTAGGACAGCCCGTTTTTTACAGCAGCTAAAGGGACATTCTTCTGAAATCTGCATTTAAAGGGGTGGCACATGAGAGGGAAGAGCCTCTCCCTGGAGAGGAGCCTGCTCCGCCACACAGAACAGGGCCAGGAAAGAAAGCCGTGGAGTGTGGGCAGGCGTGCTCTCCCCTCCAGGCTGCGGCATGTAGCGCACTCTCCGCCAGCCTTCATCTCCTCTGCAGGATGGAAACACAAGCTGCCGCCAGCAAGGCTGGGTGGAAATTCAGCGAGACGGTCCATCAAGCACCCTACTAAGCACCTGGCTCCTGGCAGGCATTCAGTGCACATGTGCTCCCGCCTGTCTTCCCGTGAAGAAACAGAGCCCCCGGCTGCAGGCAAACTAGTGAGCTTGAGCACGTAAGTGACCTGTGCGTGACCTCCTCCACCTGTCCGCCATGATGGGAGACACCTGCCTCTTGCTGGCGCCCAAGAGGCTCAGCTTCTAAGCCACGCTGGCCCTTCTCTCCATCACAAATGCCTAAGGCTCAGGACTGTGACTGGTTCTTTGGGGCGAGGTGGGGCAGAGCTCTGTTTACACAGAGCTCAGGTGTATGCCACTCTTTACTGACATTTTTTCAGTGCTTAATGCAAAAAGCAAAGCAGTGTGTCTGCTGGCCCCGCGGGCTCCATACCTGCTGCCTCAGCCCGTGAAAGACGGCTATGGGGTCTGCAGCCTGGGGCACTGCACCCTCCGCGAACAGGTGGATATCGTCCCGGACGCTCTGCGCTGGCCAGAACCCAACCACACCCCTGGCCTGCAGCTTCTTCTGACTAATCAGTGCTTTCAGCATGTTTTGGGCATCATCATAGACTTTTTTGGCCTCTTCACCTGTTGGGAAAATATCATAAGAATTCACTTAGAGAAGCCAACAATAACCAGCTAAGAACGCTTCTTTCCAAGCCTGTGGCCCCTCCTCCGTCACCTCGTCTCTCCCCCTCAAGCACAGTGTCAGTGTGTGGCGGCACACCTAAGGTGCAGTCACTGGGGTTCACTGGTTCTGAGTGCAGCTCCCACACAGTCTGTTTCGCCAGCTCAAGCCACTTACACTTTTCCATAACAAAAGGCAGAGACAAGTCTTGGATCCCCAAAGCAATCTGTCCAACAGAGTGAGACAGTGCAGGCCAAATCGCTCCGTCCTGACGTCCCTGGTGCACGTACAGCTCCCCTGACCTCAGTGAACCCCGGGGTATGGGACGTCCGAGGAGTGGCGTGCGGCCCCGACCCCTCCTCAGTTGCCTGTGCTGCACCTGGATGCCCTCCGTCCAGAGGCCTCCGCGGCCTGCGCCTGGCTACGTGGCACCCACAGGGTCGCCAGCACTTTTGGTCAAGGGTCTGCCGTGGCCAGCATACGCTGGCCACTCTCCTGCTCACCTGTGGTCACTCAGGAGCAGCTCAGAATGAGAGACCCCTCTCCCACTGCTGCACCCTGGCTAACTGAAAGCCACTGAGCCACCGCACCCTAACACACACCAGGGACCCCTCCAGGAACTGGGCTCTCCTCAGCCCTAACCCGGCTACCAGTCCACCCACTACCTGGCTCTGAGCTAGCTATGACCTCATCCTTCGATCTGCCTAGTGGTTTGACCCCATGTCTCTGGGGGTAGGGCTGGAAGTGAGAAGTGGGGCTAGCAGTAGATTGATTAGCTCACCACCCCAAATCTCCCTCCTCCACCAGGCTCAATGGACTCCCTGCTGTTCCCCAGATCAGCTCCTGGGTTTGTACCTTCTCACTCACTCTCCTTGGCCTGGAATGTTCTTTTCTCCAATGCTACCTCATGTTGTCAGTCCCAGCCTCAGTACCTCCCACTCAATCTTTAAAGAGCAGTTCAAACACCACCTCCTCCAGAAAGCCTCCCTTGATCTCCCAGTCTGAGGTCTATCTCGTCCTGTGTGCACAGCAGCCTGGCTGTGGCCCCGCAGCAGGAGCTTGGCCTGCTGGATGGGAATCACCCCCCACTGTCTGCTGCACCCGCCAGCCAGGAACCAGAGGACAGAGTTATACGTCTTCTTTTGTTTATCCCCAGTGCCCAGCACAGAGCCCAGCATGTAACTGATGTCAATAAGCATTTATTAAAGAATAGAAAAACAAAATGCCAGATCTAGCCAATAAATAAGGACCCAACCAGCAGTTTAAAGACCACTGGAGAGAAGAGTAGGTAACAATGTCTTGTATCATAACAATGAACTACAACCTGCATAACCCAAACCCCCTGCTCATTACATATTCTTATCTTCGAAGTCCCAATACTGTGTTTCGAATATCAGAGCAGAAGGAAGGACTCACTGAACTAACCTACAGTTTTGTCATTAAATATCTTGGGAAAGCCTCGATTCGGGTATTTGCCCCGGAGCTGCCAGACATCGAAGAAAGGTTTCCAGTCAATGTAATCCACCAGCTTCTGCAGGTCGTAGTCCTCAAAGACGCGAGTCCCGAGAAACGTGGGCTTCACTACGGGAAAGAAGCGCAGGTGTCAGCACTGACGTGGGCCCGTGGCTGAGCGCTGCCTGCAGAGGCCTTCCCGGCCGCCACCCCCCACCCCCCCCGGCTCTGCTGGCTCCCACGCACTGCCTCCCTCCTGTCACTGTAGGAGTTGTTTTACAAAGAGGGGAACTTTAAATTATCGTGGAGAAGGAGGAATTCTGCGGCACAGCTTAAATGAAGCTATTCTTCCCATGCAGCTGACTGACGCCGCCGCCCTTGGAAACTGTTCCCCCTACCCTTCTTCCACCCTCACCCCGCCCAAGGCAGACTTGGGTTAACCGTCACTTGTACAAATGAAGACAATAACAAAATGAAGACCACTGCAGAAAGACACGTATAATAAGCCACTTTACATAAAGTTTAAAAACATGATCAATAATCTGTATCGCCTACTGATAGAACCAAAGTCTAAGGAAATGCTTGGAAATAAGGCATCAGATTCAGGATCCTGCAGGGGAGCGAGGGGTCACAGGCGGTCTCCACTACACGTGTATTGTTCTGTCTTCTTAAGTGGGCAATGTGTCATTCTTTAAGGGGCTGGTGGGGACACACAGATGTTCAACCCTCTCTTCTTTACGCCTCTCGTGATCCTAAGTTAAATAATGGTGAAGACTTCAGAGACAGATGGTGCCCCTGGGCTTCTGGGACACCCAGAGCAGCAACACTGCCCCCCACTCCACCAAGCCCGGGGTGGGTCTGGCCGGAGTCGGAGGTGACCACTCTGCTGCTGGCTTCCCACCCGTCGTGTCCTCAGTTTCCTGATCTGCAAATAGGGATCAGAGAAATTGTACTAAACTACCACTCTCAGGTGCTCAGGGATAACACAGAAGTCTAAGTGTACCCTTCTCTCGTCAGACAGTAAAAGTGAGAGGTGAAAGTATGGGCCAGGGGAAGTATGTGCAGCTTCTTCATTTTGCCTGGAAATGTCTACCTTTTCCTACAGTTCAGACCCTTTCCCATTTGCTCCTGTCATCTTCTTACTGCAGAGGACAATCCTTTCTGTGTAAACATTCTTATGCTTACTGGTCTGGTAATTAAAAAGAAACTACGGCTCTCCCCCTGACTGAAGCGTCCCCTCATCTGAAGGCAGGGAGAAGCGTTCTCCGCGTGCTCGCTGACGGGTGCTACTCTCGAACAAGCTTGCTTTCCGGAGATTGAGGTCTGTCTGAGGTCTCACCACCAAAGACCTAGAGAGAAGCAGCTTTCCTTCTCCCTTTATTGACTTCCTACAACTATGCTAAGACTGGGCTGTCCTCAAAAACTAGGCTGTGGGCTGCACCTCAAGGGCCAGAGCCCCAAGGGCCCGGCACGGGTCGGCCGCGCAGGAAAAGCATCGGCACTGCGGCCTGGTGCTGCGAGCCTTCAGAGGACTGTTTCCACTGAGATGTATTTTGGGTGTTTGACTTGGTTAAAGTGGACTTTTCCTTGTGGTATTTTTCCAGTTTCAGAGTGAAAGGTGAAGGAGAAAATAATAGTTTGGACTGGTACAGTGATTTGTCTTTTTCAAAGGTTTACACATACTATCTTATTTTATCCTTACAACGTTTCCATAAAGTAACTCCTTCTTTACATATTAGAAACTGTCACACATGGAAGCAAGATGCTCAAGGCCACCCTGGGATTCAGAGCCAGGAGCCAAGTTGGGATTAGAATCCCAACTCCCCACCTGCACTTTCCCACTAGACCACCCTGAGCTCAGCAGGACAGAGTCCAGAACCCAGCTTGCACTTTCCCACTAGACCACCCTGAGCTCAGCAGGACAGAGTCCAGAACCCAGCTTGCACTTTCCCACTAGACCACCCTGAACTGAGTCCAGAACTCAGCTCACCTACAGTTCCAACTCAGTTCTCTCCACTCCGCTCAGCACGCGGAGATGTCATGAGCAATGGAAGCAGGTTTGAGATACTGCCCTGGAAGTATGGATTCAAATTAACATAAGCCCTGCTCACCCTGTCTTGGTTTCGCATTTGTATCACACGCCTCTCTGAGCCTGTCAAAATATCTCACCTGTTTTATTCCTTCATGGAACCCCTATGTGAGGCAAGAAAGGACTCCAGAAATGAGAAAGGGGAGGAACCAAATGAAAGAAATCAAAGGAGGGAAGCACCCGAGAGAGGAGAGAGTGAGCGGAAGCCAGAGACCCTGCTCTACTGCAAGGTCTTAAGGTCTGTTCAACGTGAAGCCATCTGCAAACTTCAGATTTCTGCACTCAGACCCGCCTGGGACCCGGGCTGACGCAGTGACCCTAGAAGTCCTCTAGAACTGGCTTCCAGATGAAGGAGGCCCATGCAAGCACAGCACGGAGGACAGAGCCTGGGTTTAGAAGATAGGTCAGTGACAGAATGCTAGTAACCTTTAACTTATTACCCGAAACTCAGTTTCTTCAAACTAAAGCGAGGATAACAGCACATTCATTACAGAATTGTGTCAAGGACTCAGAGCTGCTGCGGGTCAATCTCAGGACAGTGTTTGGTTCTCTTCATAAATGGTAACCACTGACTTTCACTTTTAATCACCATCATTCATCCTCATCATTGGACACTAGAGCGTCAAGCTGCCTGTTTGGCTGTGTAGCCAAGTAAATGCACACATCTCTTCTGCTCACAGTTGCCACATACAGCCTTCCTCTAACCAACAGCCAAACAGACCTGGGCGAGGCTCTGACAGCCAGTCAATACGGAAGCCGTTCTCTCTAGCTTGACTTAAGGTTAAGTATCTTCTCTCCTATGGAAAAAAGAAAAGTTACTCAGAGACTCTAGGCTTTTTTTCAGCTGTTGCTATGGAAGTATGTCCAAGGAAGCCAGTAAGTAAGTTTTGAAAAAAGCCCAAGTTCTTTTATTAATGAAAACGTACATCCTAAAGAGCTGTCCCTTTTACACCCAACACGGCTTCGATCAGCACAGCAGCAGAGCGCAAAGGCTCAATAAACATCCATCACATGTTGACCTGTAAACGCAAGCTTTCCTTCTTGCTTGTTACCACATTTCTCTTTCCGGGCCGCCCCGACATGCACCCCTCACTCCCCCCACACAAAGCCCAGCGAGCAGACAACCAGGGAGGAGCGTCCCAGTGGCCCCCGAAGAGTCATCATGCCCAGTCTCCATGGAGTCCCTGAGGCTGACCAGGGAGGGAGTTCTCAGCACATGACCCTGCACAGTGAGCGCTGGGCAGTCAGGGCGAGAGGCTTGCAACGGTCCTGACTGATGTCTTCTTTTTCTCCCATTTTTCCCTCAAGAACAAGGACCTGTGGGAGTCGTTCCAGCACACGTCTCCGTTCCTGTTCCCCTGCTGGCTGTGAGCTCATGTTTTATTCATTCTCACAACTCTGCTACCCAACACCGCACCCAACACCTACTGCTCACCCAGAAGAGGTTTGGTGGAATAAACAAAATTAATTTTAATATAACCAAGAGTTATTGGGAACTTAGACACTGAAGAACATTGATTTGAACTAAAAAAACTGTACTTCTTTAAAATGATCCCAAACTTTACCCTCTTTTAAACAGTAAAGTCACATTAACAACTGTGGGACTGGGTTATGACCCCGACAAGCCGGGACCTGCTTTTGTCACTTACCTTGAGAGACTCATAATGGTCCTGTCTAATATCTTCATATTCTTCCATGATCTCTTCAAAGTACTCATCTTTTAGATTCTCATCTAACAGCTGAGAACACTGAAAATGCAAGATCAACGTTCAGTGACCGCAGAGCAGCAGCAGAGTAACATGTGCAGAATACCGCTCATCCTGGGGTCACCGCCTTCAGGAAGCTTTCCCGTGCTAACACCATGTCCTCTCCCTGCACCGCCTCTGCTGATTCCTGCCTGGGTGTGCAGCGAAGGGCGAACTCAGCAGGCCTGGGGCGTTCCAGTCTTGCACATCCTGAAGAAAGGACTGGCCCCTGACAGCTCCTGGGAGATAAGCTCTAAGCCCCCCGAATATCCTGCCTGATACGGTGTCTGTCTACCTGGGCCACTGCAAACAGTTTCTGTTAACACTGATTTATGGGGGGAACTTGGCTTATGTGCTATCTAGCCTCTGGAGGGGCTGAAGACTGAGTAACTAAGGTCAGACAGGTGAGCATCTCCTGCCTACATGACTGACTTCCACTAAAAGTCCAAGACACTGAGGCTCAGGTGAGCTTCCCTGGGTGGCAGTGCTCCGCACACGTGGTCACACGTCACTAACTAGTGGAAGAGCTGAGCACTGGGCGTGTGACTCGACGGGGAGAGACACCTGGGAGCTGGTGCCCAGTCTTTTCTAGATCCCACCCGATTTCAATCTGCAACCTTTCATGGACATCAACCAGGACTGGGAATCTAACAGTCTCTGAGTTCTGTGAGTGGCACCTCTCGGGGACCCACAGCATGCTGGTCAGCCGCCCCTCCTCCCTGCTCGCCTTTCCATCACTGCACACACTCGGGTTCTCCTGTCTGCCTGTGCACCTACTTCCCTTACTAGAGGACAGGCCCTCTGACGGCAGGATCGCACCCCAGCCACCTCCGTGACCCTGGTTCCTAACTCAATGCCTGGCACGTGGAAGGCGCAGCCTCACTACATGTCTGCTGATGGAATAAGGCTGATCGTCACAGTCAGCTATGAGCTTCTGCTAAGATAAGAAAGGAAGCTGATCATCTGAGAAATGTGAGACCACTCAGTAAACTGCAAGACTAGAATATTATTTGCGACTGAAAAAAGCTGGTAGAAGAACAGCCACCATCAAAGCTCAAAATCACAAAGAGAACTGGCTGCTACTGGTCACACCAGCTCAACAGTCATAGCACTGCCCCTCCTCCAGCAGGACTTCCTAACGCAGAACAAGGCGGGAAGTTCAATGCCATCACCTGAAACTGAGCAAGTTGGGCTGGACGATGGCTAAAGTGCCAACCAGCTTTACATTTGTATAATTCTACGTGACTCTTCTAAGTATCTCTAAATAGCAATCCAAAGCTAGAACACTCCCTCACACCACACACAAAAATAAACTCAAAATGGATCAAAGACTTAAACATTAGATGAGATACAATAAACCTCCTAGAGGAAAACATAGGCAAAACATTATCTGACCTACATCTCAAAAATGTTCTCCTAGAGCAGTCTACCCAAGCAATAGAAATAAAAGCAAGAATAAACAAATGGGACCTAATGAAATTTACAAGCTTCTGCACAGCAAAGGAAACCATAAGTAAAACAAAACGACAACCTACGGAATGGGAGAAAATTCTGCAAATGAAATTGACAAAGGCTTGATCTCCAGAATATATAAGCAGCTCATACAACTTCATAAGAAAAAAACAAACAACCCAATCCAAAAATGGGCAGAAGACCCAAACAAACAATTCTCCAAGGAAGACATACAAATGATCAATAAGCACATGAAAAAATGCTCAATATCATGAATATCAGAAAAATGCAAATCAAAACTACGATGAGGTATCACACCAGTCAGAATGGCCATCATTCAAAAGTCCACAAATGATAAGTGCTGGAAAGAGCGTGGAGAAAAAAAGAACCCTCCTA